GGGCGCAGTGGGCGGTGGGCAGGACCGCCGGTGGGCGCAGTGGGCAGGCGGGCGCAGTGGGCAGACTGCCTGGCACAGACCCCGCTGCGCCCTGAGGGCTCGCTCCTGGGGGCCTGGGTGGTTGCTGATTTTGAGAAGAGCCTGAAAGGGGCAGGAGAGCCCCCGGCTCCGACCCCACCGCTGGGCCTGGCGCCCTGGGCCTCAGGATCTGGGTTCTGTGGCTGGGTCCGTGTTGTGCTCATCGTCTGCCCCCGCCTCCCTGCGAGCCAGTGTTGGGGTGCCCCCTTCTGCCCCACCCTCCATCCCAGCCACCAGCCCTCGCCGTCCACCGTACTGAAGGGGTGACTGGGCCCTCAGATGGCGCTGGCCCCGCAGAGACGCCTCGGGAACGCCGCTGCAAAAGCCCGCCCACTGCAGCCCAGGTTTGGGCTGGAAGTATTAACTTCTAGTTTTAATTATTCATTAGAAATTAATGAAAATGTGAAAGGAATCTCAGAGGAGCTTCTTTACCGCAGGGCTGGGGCAGCGGAGGGGGAAGTTGTGTGGAGCCTGGGAAGGTGGGGGAACCCTGGTGGGAGGCGCGGGCAGTGATGGCAGCCTGGCTCCCCTGTGGGTCTCCTGGGCCTCCCTGCCGCTGCAGCACCCCGGCCAGGTCCTGGGGTCCTGCCTCATGTCTGGGTGTGCCCCAGGGCTCCCCGCCGCAGGAGCTGTGCTGACTGCTCTGAGGAGAGCCGGGCAGGCTCGGCCAGGCGGGGGTGAGACGCTCACGGTGGCAGCTGTTTTCTGGGGGCTCATCAACTCATTGAAATGAGCCCCGTGCCTGGGGGGTGGAGGCAGGGGTCCCCAGCCTTGGGGGCAGTAGCCAGAGGAGAATCTTGTAGGAAAGCCCAGCAGCCGGCCTCATTTGCAAGGGAAATGGCTCCCGGCCTTTGTCCGGCTCTGACCGGCGTGAGGAGAGGCCCCTCCTGTGTTATGCTTGAGCTCTGCGCCTGGGCCCCCCCCTTTCCTTCTGGCCCCCACTGCACCCTGAGGAGGGCCTGGGTGAGGGCTCCGAGGCCCGCGGGTTGCCAGAACATCCCACGGTGGTGAGAATGGAAATTTCCAGAAGATGGCTTCCTGGCCCCTGTGTAAGCTGGAGGCCCAGACCGAGACCTCCGTCCCGAGTTTGGGGAGGGGTGGGGCGCTGAACAAGCCTCGGGTGCCCCGCACAGCCTGGGAGGGGTGTGGGGGCGCCAAGGCCGCCCCCTGTCCCAGCCCCGCCCAGGAGCTGCCTCCCTCCAGCCTGCGCCCCCCTTGCCAGCTGGGCACACACAGCCCCCTGGGACCTGGACCTTCTGTGGGGGAGGGCGGGGGCATGCCTGGAGCTGCTGGGCTTTGGAAAGAGTTCTCTCGCCGCCCTGTTCGCGCCGCCCTGTTCACACCCTGGGGTGCTCCCTCCTGCTCCCCAGCCCTCGCCAGCCCTCCTGCCCAGGCGGGGTGATGCTTTAGGCCGCTCTGGGCTGGAGGGCGGTGGGGGAGGGGGTCCGCGGCCACTGGCTGGGCAGGGCGGGAGCTGCCCATGAGTAGCCGCACGCAGTCTCCCGGGTGTGGGAGGCGGAGCCTGCCCGGGGCTCACCTGCCAAAGCTCTGAGGGTCCGCAGCCGGCACCCCCGGGCCCCGGGCAGGGCTTGGCGGCTTGGCGGCCCGGGCGCTGCCAGGTGGTGTGCAGGGGGGGGTTGGGTCTGGGACCCTCCGGGAGCACCTCAGTCTGCTGTCAGCGCTCGGCTCTGCGGCCTCTGAGCCTCCGGGCCTCAGTTTCCTCCTCAGAAGAGCAGAGTGCGAGGATTGTGCCCTGGGCGGGGGGGGCCCTGTGCAAGGGGGGGCTGGGGGCCAGCCCTGGGGGGGGCCCTGTGCAAGGGGGGACAGGGGGCCAGCCCTGGGCGGGGG